GAAAGGAGGCAGCTGGAAGTGACAGCCTTCTGAGTGTGTGGTAGTCACCACAGAGGAAGGAGAGGCGGGGGCTCTGCCAGCAAACTCATCCAGCTCTCTCCCATTCAAATTCAGGTAAGAAAACACCTCCAGGCCTCTGTAGCAATAGGTGACTTCAGCCTGACGTCACATCAAAGCACTTCTGGTTAAGCAAGGAAGTCATCATTGCCCAAGGAGGTCCCCTTAGGGGGCTCAATCTCTGTCTAATCTAAAGTTTAGATCTAGCTTCTGATTTACAGAAGAATCAGTTGAAGGAGTAAAAACAGGACCAGAGGAAACAATCACATAAATCTAGATGACATCTACAGGAAAACAGACTTGGTCTCTTCAGAAAGTCTGCACAGTGGCACATGCCTGGACTCCCAACACTAGGAGAGGCTGAGGCAGAAGGACTGCCAAATTTGAGTCCCACTGGGGCAACTTAGTAAGACCTTGTCTCAAACAAAAGTGGCTCACACCTGTAATTCAAGCACTTGGGAGGCAGAGACAGGAGGATCGCCACGAGTTCGAGGCCAGCCTGAGCTACATAATGAGTTCAGGGCCAGCCTGAACTATAAAGTGAGACCCTGTCCCTGTCTCAAAAGAACCAACCAAACCAAACCAAAAATGGCTGGGGATGTAGTTCAGTGGTAGAGCATCCTGGGGTCTGATTCCCAGTTCTAGGGGTGAAGAAAAAAACACACGCCTGGTATGCAGGAGGACTTTGTTCAACACCCAGCAACAGCAGCCACAACACAATGTCACGGGGTAAAATATGGTTGTAGGATGGGAACAGTGGCAGGATAAAAATAAATTTATGATTCATAACCAAATGCATCCGCCCTTCCTTGATTTGCATAAAGCAGCAGGAAAGAACAAGTTTGAAACAACCAGAGAAATATGAACAAAGATTGCTAGGTTTCAGATGATACTGAAGAACTATTATTAATTCTCCAGTTGTGACAGTGGCCCTGGCCTAAGGAGAAAATGCTTTTATTCTTTTTCAGAGATTAACCTAGTAAAATCTAAGGGTAAAATGTCCCACATTCTACTTTAACCTTGCCATACCTGTGATCTGTATTTACCTTGAAACAAGCCGTGGTTCCTGCTTTATGGTTTTCATTTTGGAGCCATGTAAATGTTTTACAAAATTAGAAAATTAAATGAAATTTAAACATTTGAAATGGCTACAATCAAAAGTGGAATAAGGAAGTTAACTCTAGTCAGGTTAACACATCAAAGACATAGGAAAGGATTATTTTCAATGACTTTTAAAACTCGGGGCTGGGGATTTAGCTCAGTGGTTCCGCTGCCTGCCTCGCAAGCATAAGATTCCTGAGTTCGATCCCCGGTACCAAAAAACAAAACAAAACAAAACAAACAAACAAACAAAACCCCAAATAAAATAAAATAAAACCCAACATTTTAACCATAAATACAGTGGTGCCTTGTTCATGAACTTAATTTGCTCCACAATTTTGGAAAAGATGGCCAGACTGGTGTTCATATGGGAAAGATACTCAGTTGTGTTTGTCAATGATGCAGAGTTTGCAAACAAAAACAAAATTTTGCCAAATGCTTCTGTTTGTCAACCAAATTGTTTGCAAATAAAAGTGTTCATGAACCAAAGTGCAACTGTGCCTCGATTATGACCCTAACTCTTTGATTTGGTTCTTGCCCAATTTGTTTTGCAACCAGAATAGCAGAAAGAATTAAATTCTTGGGCCAAAGTACCACTCACTGGATTTATGGCCAAAAGTCACTGAAAATAATCCTTTGTGTCATTACTGTGACACTGTATTGGGTTTTTAGACAAAAAAGAACAACAAAGGTTTAAAACCGAATTCAGTACTGCTACAAATAATGCTGACATTGTTATTTTAAAGCGTTAACAAATTACTTGTTTAATCTCATGTTATATACATGTTTTTACATGTTATATGATGTATATAACATATCACATATAGTATAACGCAAATAATGGTGTTAATGTCATTAGGCACCAGGATTTTCAGCTGAGAGAAATGAAATACAAATATAAAAATCAAAGAAGTTTTAAAACCCTACAACTTTAGCTGGGCATGGTGGCTCATGCTCGTAAATCCAGCACTCTGGGAAGCTGAGGCAGGTGTATTGCAAATTCAAGCCCAGGCTGGGCAACTCAGTGACTTAGTGAGACCTGGTCTCAAAATTAAAAATAAATAAATAAATAAGCAGAGCCAGGGATGTAGCTCAGTGGCACCGCGCCACCTGCCTCACAAGCACAAGGTCCTGAGTTCGATCCCTGGTACAATATAAACAAACAAACAAACAAACAGATAAAGGCTGTAGTGCAGTAGGAAGGCCAAGGGTTCAATCCCCAGTGCTGCAAAAACACAGTTTTCTAAAATCTTAAGAACAAACTGGAAATAGTGGTACAAATATGTTTCACTGTTCTCAGAAAGACTTCACACTCTCTAGTTCTGTCCTCTGAAAAGACCTAAAAGCACTGACAACATAAGGCAGACAGCACTCTCGGTGTTCCAACTAGTGCTACTAGGTACCGCGTCCTATGAGGAGTCAGGACCCCTGGAGAAACAGTTGATTCCAGCTCTCAGGCAGGAAATGTACAAGATGAACTTGGAATTTTGTTTTAAAACTGTTTTTCAGGGTGCTGGGAATGGAGCCCCAGGGCCTCACACATGCTTGGCAAGGGCCCCACCACTGAGCTCCAGCTCAGCTCCAGCTTGGAACATCATCAGAGGCTGCTAGGACCTGTGAGAAGGATCAGTACCCAGACAAAGGCCTCTCCCAGGCAAAGATAAGATCATTTGATCCTCTAAAAGAATAATTGCTATATAAAGAGTTAAAATATTCTAAATTCACTACTTTGAAATGCTACTGAAAATAAAACGTCTTACCTTGGGAGGCCTCCTAGGACAAAAACTCACTGCTTTGAAAGTGGCAAGACAATGATTCCAGCTTTTTATCTAATTTTTCTATAAAATTGTATGGTGGTGAAATAAAGTAACTCCAACTAACACACACAGAAGAAATAAAATTAGAAAACAACTGTTTTTTCTCCCTTTTTTTTTTTTTTTTTTTTTTTTTTTTTTTTTTTGAGACAGGGTCTCACTATGCAGTTCAGGCTGGCCCTGACTTCACTATGTAGCCCCAGGCTGGCCTCACACTCCTGGCCAGCCTTGTCCTGCCTCAGCCTCCTGAATGCAGGGATTACAGGTGTGTACCAACTGAAAACAACTATTTTGTCAATTACTACTTGAGGAAGGACAGTGAAATGGGAATTATAATGGTTGGGCTCACTGACAATCTCAACATCACAGAAAGACCAGTGGGAGCTAAATTCACAGCATTAATGATGGAGCATTTCTGCCCAAAACTTTATCCGAACCTGATCAAGCTTTTAGACCTAACTAATGATTAACAGAAAAGTACAGACAACCGTGGGATATTTACGCATCACCAACAGGCACAATCAGCCAGTGCCAGATTTCAGAAGAGCCTGGAGGATCATTTTCTTTACCAACTTAATGTCAAGAAAACAATGACAACAAAGGATAACAGTTAATGATTGAACAATTTAAGAGACAGAGAGCAACCAGGTGCAATTGTGAGCTTGTTTAGAGCCAAAAATATTTTTTAAAAAGCTATGAGAAAGAATTTATACGGCTGTCATGAAATCGCAACACTAATACTATTAGATGGTAAAAGAATTCTTTTTTTAGTGGTGGCATTGAGCATCAAACCTAGGGTCTTACACATATTAACCATACCTGTACCACTGAGCTCAACCCCTGCCCCAGGAGTTACTCATTTTCCTGTCGTGATAAGAAATATCTTTTAGAGGAGCACACTGGTAACTGATAAAGGGATTTGCTGTCTAGGATTTGCTTCAAATAAGCAAGTAGGCAAGAGAAGAGGACTAAAAACAGAACTGACCACAGGTTGCTAATCAATGATAGATATAGAGAAACCATACTGTGCTATTCCAATTTTGCATATGTTTGATTATCCATAATCAAAGGCTTTTTTAAAAGGCTTAAGATTAAAAACAAAACAAAACAAAAAAAAACTAAAAATGATGGATTCAAAAATGCAGGACAGCCAGGCGTGGTGGCGCATGCCTGCAATCCCAGCACTTGGGAGGCTGAGGCAGGAAGATCACTGTGAGTTCGAGTTCGAGACCAGCCTGAGATACATAGTGAGTTCCAGGTCAGTCTCAACTACATAGTGAGATCCTGTCTCAAAAAAACAAAACAAAACAAAAAAAACGCAGGACATGAGGGACAAAATGGTGTCAAATTCCAAGTGATAGGAATACTCAAGCTTACACTCTCTAATGTCTACCTGTATGTGAATGTTCGTAACTGTAAATAAATCAAAAAGCACTTAGACCCAGCCAACACTCAGAATGGGTCAGGTTAAATGGACAAAATACAGCCAGCCACCTTATTCTGGCATCTCCTGGTATTGGCCTCAAAACTTCAAAGTCAATGACCAAAGTATATCCAGAAAGTTTAAACTCCAAGTACTAAATTATTAAAGAAAAAAGAAGTAAGACCCAGAGGAAAGAATTTCAGTTGACGACAGAGTGACACAATTATTACATGTCTGGAACACAGGGTCCCTATACCCAGGGAAGCCCCGACCAGTCACATGAAAGAGATGTTTTACAACTGCTATCCAGGGCCACGATGGCATATTTTACCCTATGATCAGAAAGGTCTGGCTGGCACCATATGCCCTAAAGCTTCAATGCCTTAAGCAAGAGGTACATAAACAGGCACCCCATGGAAACAGAAAGCTTTTATGATCTGGCATTAGATGGCATAGCTATAAAGTAAATCCAGACAGCAGCCAGCATGATTGTTACTCAGACACATTAACCAGCCTCTGACGTCAGCAGCTGTTGCAAAACTGGTCCCTCTGGGGACAGCGGGCCTGACGTCCTCCACATGCAAGGACAGGGCTCTTTCTCATACCTGATGATGACACACTGGTTCTCCCTGTCGATGATCATGTTCCTGTACATGCTGTCCGCGAGGGCATAGATATGTGGTGGGTTTTCATACTGTGCCTAGGAAAGTCAAGAAACAAATGAACAAAAGCCATGATTAAATAGATCAACACACTGAGTTTCTTCTCTTGGCCTTGGAAATGAATCCACTACTTTAGAGTTGCAATGTCTACGATTACATCATAAAGGTTGCATGACTTGGACTGCAAAATTCCCCAGGTGATGAAGTTATACCCTAAGAAAGTTAGGATGGAACTCTGCAGATCTCTTGCTTGGGCGCATGTGTGTGATTCAGCCTCAGACATGACCTGTGTCTCAGAAATTCCAACACCACACCCTTCCACCCAAGCACGCCTCCGCGGCCACATTCCACCCCTGAATGCTTCTGAGGTCACCTGGCAACAGACTGAAGACAACTACAATCACCTGGGTCTGGCTTGGACCACAATTCCAAGTTCCTATGTAATCTTTTCTAAGATGCCAGTTGCAGATTCTGGGGTCTCAGAAGGAACTAAGTGAGTCTATCTATGGAGGAAAAAACTTAAAATTTTCCAAAAGAAGAGGGTAGCAGGTGTGGTTTTTTCAAGGGATGAACTGGTTTGGCCAGCTTGTGGCATCTTTATTAAACAGAAAATCCTACTGCATAAAGGCAGTGAGTGCCCTGGGTTTGTGACAGTGGCCTGAGATTGCTTATCTATGCATAGTTACAAAACCAAACTGTTCTCCACACCTAGTAAATTCACTCCCTCACCTTGATGTCAGCCCTGTTTTATTCAGTTTGTTGGAGTCCATTTTTGACACTCCCTCAAGGATTGCTAAAAAGAAAAACATTTCATATGGTTTCAATAGCTGGAAAAAGACAACTTCTTCAATTTAAGGTTAGTGCGCCTAAGAGTAGAAAGGACAGCAGGTACAGGGTGAGAAGACATCCAGATCCTGTCTTTCTCATCCCTAAAGCAGGGGCAGTGATACCCAGGCCACAGATCTCACAAGTAACCGAGAGGAGGGCAGGGAAAGGCACTTCAAAAAGCAAAGAAGTAACATGGGAAGGAAAGTGTGACTTCCTTCGTCTATCCTTGAGTCCCATTATGTGGCAGAAAAAGGCAGCTGGCTGAGAAATTGCTTCTTAGCACCAAGATATGAGCTCAGGGCGGGAGTCGCAGGGACCTGGAGGGGATTGAGAGGCCAGGAAGAGAGGCCATTCTAGGACTGGCCACCCGAGTAAGGTGTTCAACCTGCCTTCCGGGGGTGTGGGGGCCTGGCTAGGACCTCAGGACGGGGTCTAAAGTGGGCTTCTCCTAGCCCAGGCCGCTACAGCGGGATTACTTTGAATGCCTCTTTGAAAACAGCTCACTAGAGGATTTTGAAAAAACAAGAGGATGAAAAATGGAAAGAGATGCAGTGAGCCTTACAGGTAACAGAGGAAATGATTGTTAGAAAAGTTTGAAAACTGCTTCATCACAGCTGCGTCAGACTCTGCATGGTGCCCTGTACTTTTCAAATTTGCTTCCCACCCTCAGTCTCCCAGAGCTTCTGAGCTACAGACCTGTGAAATCAGGGAGTGGGGCATCTCCTCTGCCCGACTCTTCCCTCCCAAACCCCGTGTGCCATTAAGACCTGACTGCTCTGCACACCCCAGTACTTCTCCCGAGCCTCAAGTTTCCTCATTTGTGAGAGGGGGCAGACAGAGAGCAAGATACAGCCAGCAACCGGACTGCTTGTGCTGCAAACAAACACTGTAAATAACAGCACACAGGAGACAGTGATAAATACTAAAAGTACAACACTGCTATTTCTTAGCAATAAAAATAAATATATTTTCAGATTTTCTACAACTCTCTGTCGAGAATGACTGGGAAGATGAATGAGTTAACAGGGCCCTGGCAGCAACCCTTTCCAGAGGCCTGGAAGGACACTGCCGAGCCAGCTCCGCGCCTGCCACCCAGGTCCACCGACAGAGCCCAGAGCAGGGCCTGGTCGCTGACAGTGTCTCCCTTGTGCTGGGCTCCCAGAAAGGCAGCATTATCGAAGGTCTCTCGCCTGGCAGCTCCTCCAGCCCCAGCGCCCCACACCGACCATCTGGCAGCAGCGGGCGGGCTCCAGCTTGGGGGAGCTGCCTTCCACTCCAACTGTGAATGTGGGGGGCTCGCTCCTGTGTGCCTTCTGGGTCAGGATTAATGAGAGCGCCCTTCAGCTGCACAACAGAGCAGGAAGGGAAAGGAAAAGGGAGAAGCTGCAGGGATGAACCATAGTGTAAATAAGGATTAAGCTTCCATTTTTGTCCCACTGCTTGAGGGGCTCTAGAGCTGGATTTGAACAGGGAACAGGGTCACATTAACAAAGTGACGAAAGATTCGTTTTTCATTATCAAGTCGGAGCTACAGCTTACTACTCATTCCAAAAGATCTCATTCCATTGCACTATGGTGTCTGCTGTTTTATCCATTACTGCTTTTTATTCCTCAGAATGTTGGGGCACATGGAAACAGGAAGATCATCCCCAAACTGTGGGGACCCCTAAGTCTCATGTCACTAATTTTGTATATAAATAAGGCTTGATCGGATGCTTCTTTATCTACACTCTCAAGAAGAGCGCGCCATTAAAACCAAACAACGTCCTTTACTGGAGCTCCCCTCTTTAAATAATTCACAAGAAAATGCAAATGTATTGTCAGCTTCAAGAAAAACTGTTTATACACCCTAAGAGCCCTAAACGTAACGGTTATTTATAGGGTCTGTAACTTACCGCTCCTTGGTACATTTCAATTTCCTTTTCCCCAAAATACGGCATCTGCTTGAAAGGGTTGACTGAGATTAATACGGACCCTATATATGTCTGAATTTAAAGCCAGTTAAGGTCCACCATTAATCTTCACAGAGACACATTTTTCAAATTAAGTAACCAGATGTTAACAAGAATGCACAGTGACTGTCCAAATGAAAAGCTTGTGTATTTGTTTTCTAAATGAATACAAAGGGAGACAAAGGCAATTATCCAACTAGCTTGGGCTTTGTTCTTCTTCCTCAGGAAGAGCAATAAATTTCATTGCCAAGGTGCTACAAAAAGAAATCATTATTTTAAATTAATTAAGACATTTCCTTTCCAGACCAGTGACATGGAGAGCCCAGAAAAAAAACAAAACAGAACAGAAATGGCCAAGGATTGCAAAAAACAGCTATCCTTCCCCATCCCCCACACATATTTTTTCCTGGGAACTGTATCTCTTAAGTAGACCAAGGACATATTTATTTACGTATTGAATAAATAGAGCAGTGCCACATGCACTGAACAGTCTTGGTTTTCAGAAGCTTAAAGGAATTGAATGATACCAGCAAAACACTACTCAGAGGACAATTACAAACCCAAATAGGTCAGGTTTAGGGGAAGAAGAGGTTATCACTGCTTGGGAAAACCAGGAAGGCTTCTCAACACAGGGTTTATTTACGTTGGGCCTTAACAGTTGTACAAAACACATTTTTATGTGCCCAAATAAATGAAATTTTGTGACATAAAAATATTTCCTTAGGCACGATGCTACACACCTATAACCTCAGCTACTTGGGAGGCTGAGGCAGGAGGATGGTTAAGTTCAAGGTCAGCCTGGACTATATAGTAAAATCCGTCTCAAAAAAAATAAAAATACCCACTTCCTCTCCCAAAGGGGAAACAAAACCCAACTATGACAATGCCAATGAAAACAAACACACACATATTCAGAAGGGTTCCTTTGTTCATTTGGAATTTTTGAGATAGGGTCTTGGTTAAGGCTGGGCCAGGCTTGCACTCCTGGGCTCAAGGGATTCTCCAGCCTCAGCCTCCCAAGGGCTGGGACTATCATCTGGTGCCACTAGCTCAAGTTGTTCTTATAATCACTGAATGCAAAATATTTCAAAACTTTACAAATAAACAGTTAAATGCAAGTTACTGATCCATAAGCAGTTTTAAATAGTAAAATACATAAAACAGGGAGGTTTTCTTTCCCAAGAGGACATTACTATGCTAGGAACTGTGTGTCCAATAAAGCAGTCCAGGGTGCCTGGCTCCCCAAGCCCTGTCCTGCTCTGACCTTGGGCAGATCACGTGGCTAAGCCACGGCTGAGGGATGACAGAGATGAGACAGAACGCACCTCGCAGCCTCGCTGTGGAATGAAGCAGAACACTCAATAACACAATGCTCAGCGCAATGTCTGCACAGGCCAATGCTGTTTCCTTACTTCCCATTTTTAAGACACGGGTCTTGTCACATGCGAATACCTCTGAAATCATCACGTACATTTCAACTGTAGCTTTTTCATTTGGATGAAACACAGCATTGTTATTGTTGAACTTGGGTGAGTGTTGGATGGGTCACATAATTAAATATGTATTTACACGGCAAGGAAAAATGCTAGGTGATTTGATCGCTTTTTGATTCCTTCATCACTGACCAGAAAGATGCCCCAAGTTGAAGACCAATTGGTAGCAGAGAGGACGGGGTGGTCAAAGAACACTCCAGAGGTTCCCAGCTCTGGTCTGGGAGTGTCTACGGCATTAAGAGAAAATGTTGATGAGACAAAATCATAACTGTAAGAGACCAAAGAGTTATGGAAAAAGGGCCACAAGTCTGGATACTGGCAGGGGTATTTCCGGTTGCCAAAGTCAGACGAGATCAATGGTAGTTTGGTGACCTCCTTTCTTTGAGGTTCAACTTAACACAGATAGATGTACAACCATTCAGTGGTTAAGAAATGTCCCTGACACTGTACCCAAGACTCAAATGAATGCTGATAATAATAATCGAACCATACACGTTTACATGGCACGAATATACACAACTAATGACAATGCTATGACTATGGTTAACCCTATTTTACTATGAGGAAGCATAAAGAAATTCCAAAACTTGTTCAAAGGCACAAACTAGTTAATTACAGAACTATTTTTCAAACCCAAGCTCTTAAGCAAAAAGCAGCAACATCTTTCTACAACCAGCAGGTAACTGTCATTTGTGGAGTTGTCAGATGTAGCAAATAAAAGAACAGAATTCCTAGTTAAATCTGAGGGTCAAATAGACACTGATCTTTTTAAGTATGCCTCAAGTCATATTTGGGACACACTTTCCTAAGTTGTTATTTACCAGAAATTTGAATGTAGCTGGGCACCCCGTGATTTCTCTGTCAACTCTAAATTAGCCATGAAAGGATTTAATGATGCGGGGTCAAGGAAGGCTGAGTTAGATGGCCCTGCGGTCTCTTGTAACCCGGACTTTGCTTTCGTTGTACACTCAAAAGTCCTGACACGCTGGCACGCGCCCACAATCTCAGCCCACTGGGTGGCTAAGGCAGGAGGATTAGAAATCTGAGCTCAGCACAGGCAACTGTGTAAGGTCTTGCCCCAAAATAATGTACAAAACAAAGGGCTGGGGTTGTAGCTCAGTGAAAAGGCCCTGGGTTGAATCCCCAGGCCTAGGGAGAAAAAAAAATCTATCTTCTTAGCAGGCATGTTTTAGTAATCTTTCTACTTGGAGGGAATTTAATGAAGACAAATGGGTAAGATTTGTCTCTTGTTTAGATTCGCATGCTAAATGAATACATGGATTCTTAGTTACTCCAACCTAAGACATACAGCACTACGGACCCACCCTATTTTCAGAAGGGGAGGATGTCTATTCTTATGTGCATCCATCTAAGGTAAGACCCAACATGGGAAACACGATGTTCCCCTGGGGAAGAGCACTCCCTTCCCTCAGATGGAGAGGGAATGCTGTTACTACCACCTCGTGCTTCAGGAGCTGATCACTGCCCACAGCAGAGTAAAAGAACTGCCCAAGGATGTAAGCCAAAGCTACAATCTGCCCACCAATCCCTCCCAATCCAGCAAGCCTCTGACCACCCAAGAAACAGGAATTCCATGGAGCATGAGCTCCAGATGTAAACATCATTTTCCTGATGTAAGCACCATTTTCCTGTACTGTTCATAACCTGCTATGTAGAGATGTTTCGTGAATTCTTGACTTTTCACTAGATGATATAAATTCTCTTTGTTTTGTTTTACTTTTGTTTTTGATACCAGGGATCAAGCTTGGGTCCTTGCACTTGCAAGGCAGGCGGGAGCACCACTGAGCTAAACCCCTGGCCCTAGATGATATCAATTCTGGTAATGACCTGGTTAAGAAGACACTCACAGGGGGGTAGAACATCTCTTTCGGACTGTTCTAGGCTAATCCTGAATGAACCACTCAGGTCAGAATAGACAAATTGTAGCTGCTCCCCTAAATTTCCTAACAGTTCTCAAAGGCACTACTATTTAAGAGAACTGGCGAAAAAGTTCAGTTTGGAATAGGCAGTTAGGCCTAATTCCATGTTAAGTAGCTAAAAACTTAACTAAATCAAAAGAACTGAGATAAGGAAATTTTAGATGCAGATAAAACATACTGTAGTTATTTCAGGTGAGAATTTGGCCTCGTTGTGCATTGAAATAGCTTCTGTCTTTTCTAGTGGAATGCATTTGGGGAGACCTCAGCTATTTGCTGGTGGTAGCCGGGTAGGAACTCCGGATGCCCCTGTGAGGCTCCCTCCTACTCCTCCTGCATAATTCAGGTAGAGATCATTGTCACCACCCACACAGCTGCCAGCAGTTAATTTTCAAAATGCATGGAGATACAAAGCTATGATATAAAAACACAGGGGGGAAAAAAGCCATCTTATTTAACAGAGCATGGAGAGACACGGGGAGCCAGCAGGTCTTTAACGGACTGGTCCTCGAACGCTAGTCCAAGGGTGTACGATATTTCATAGACCTGGGGCAAGAATGATAAAAAGAGAATAGGCACTGAATTTTTCATAAGGCTCAGATCATTCCACATAGAGACTGCTCTTTATTTTTATTTTTGTTTTTTTTGGTACTGGGGATCGAACTTGGGATCTTGCACTTGCAAGGCAGGCGCCAGAACCACTGAGCTAAATCCCCAGCCCTGGTCTTTATTTTTACATCATTTCCTTCTTATATTTTTACAGTTACAACAGCCTTTCTTTTATAGATTATGTTGGTATGACCACTTTTGTATGTTTTTAATGGTCTTATTAGGCAAAACATAGAACATTTGCATAGTGGGTGAATTCTGCCAAGTTACCACCATACTGAGCCACTTCCCCTGGCTCTGTCATGGAGACGGTGCAGAGGGCGACAGGCCCCTGACACACGTGTGGGGAGGGGATGAGACCTGAGATCAATGTCCCCAGTGATGCCATGTGGGGAGGGGGCTGCCGAAGGCCAAGCCTCCCTCAGAATAACGATATACACAGCCCTGAGCTACTGCCAGCCTGGCACGAAAGTCTGGACCCCTAATTCAAGGATTCAAAATGCCAAACACATTTGAGTGTGGTCTTTGAGGAGAAGCAAGCTTGAAGAAAGCAGGACCAGATGAGCACAGAGAGAGAGATGGATAGGAACTATGTCCATCAGCCAAGTGGCTAGGAATGAAGCCTTGTCTTTGGGTAAATAGCTCAAAAATCCAGGGCCTTACTGGTAAACAATGTCAGCATTTTCAGGGCAGATTTTCTTCAAGTAGGACAACAAACTGTACATTCAGTCTGACTGTATTAACAATGGATCATTCCAAATGCTGAACTTCAATATAAGACAATGCACTGGTATTAAGTGTAGAAGAGGTAAATCGATTTTATAACAACTGAAACCATTTTATAGCAACGTCTTTTTTTGCCAAAACTAAGCACAGGCAAGGGGAAAAATCTTATCTCTAATAATGCAAGGTTATTATTCCATTGACATCAAAGTGGTGATTAGCAGAAGAGGAGATTTCCAGCCAGACCCCCAATATTATTTCATTAACACCCTTCACAGTGCATCCTCAAAGCCAACAGCTACTCTGTGCTACAGATAGAAATCACATTTATGCAGCCTTCCCATACAGTGAGTGGGTAGAGATTTCTAAAACATCAAGTCATCAGTGGCCGAGTAACTCATTTCCTTGGCAGAACACATGATTAGTCAGTTATTGATTCAAAGTCATTAATTCAAAGGCATCCCTCGGCCCCCTCGTGTGAGTCATCGAAAAATCCTGTTGTCTGAATTTACAAAGCAAGTCCTTCAAGTCAACAAAGTTTCCACGAGCACTTACTAGGCTGCACCATGCCAAGATCTGGGCAGGAAATGCGCGGCGCAGGATGATGCCATTTTTGGTAAGGCTGGCAGGAGCAGGGAGGACGCATGTGTGTCTGTAGGTGGTACAGCAAAGGCGACAGTCTCAGAGGTGGACAGGGATGGACCCCAGGTGCTGGGGTCCTGGGTAACTTCAGCGTTCGGCTCTTTGCCTGGCTGGGTTTCACATGCACACGTCACTTAAATGAACCTGTACTGGTTTAAAGAGTTCCCACAGCGTGTTCTCTATAAACGAAACACAGCCCCTGTCCCCAAAAAGCTTCCAGTCTCTTAGGGGAAGCAGTGTCAGAGGAGCAGAGTGAGGCCTGTCTGAGTCGTAGACAGACTGACTGCCGACCACTGCTCACTTCATTTTGTCTTCTCTTGGCCAATTTATCAAACACAATCTTTTTGCGTCAACAGTGTACTTAGTTGAACTACATTCCAAGGCTTTTCTGGCCCTATTAGTCCTCCATTTACTACAGTTCCGGTGGTAAAATGTATTTTGAATTTACAATAGGCAGCTTTACAATTAAATTTTTGGAAGAAAACTCAGAAATAGTGATTAGAACTTACTGGCCAAACAAAAACATGTACTTGCTGGACTCATCAAAATGACCACCTCACATGGGAGATTTTGTCATCACTCCCATTTTGCAGACCAGGAAAGCAGGGCATACAGATTGCAAGACGTCTGAAGGTCACAAAGTTCTCACAGGGCAGCCCAGACCGCCGCCTCCCCACCCAGCTCTCCCTCATCCCGTCTCCAGTTTCCAGGCACCACGAGTCTTTGGACAACAATGTGACTGACAAGTTTTGATGTAGACATATCCAAAGTAAGCATATTTTCAATTTTTTCTTTTTGTTTCTCCGATGTTGGGGATTTAACCCAGGGCCTTATGCACATTAGGCAAGCGCCCTACCACTGTGCTGTACCTCTAGCCCAGGATATTTCAATTTTTGAACAAATAAAATAACAATTCCAAGTAAGCACAACTGTCCCAATACAGTTAAAGGAAGCTGAGCAGGTATCGACTGCAAGGTCAGTAAACTTTTATTGGAAAAGGACCAGGAAGTATTTTATTTTCATATGGTGCTGGGGATTGAACACCGGGCCTTATGTGTGCTAGGTAAGTGCTCTACCAAGGAGCTACACTCCCAGCCCAGAAAATGACCGTTTTGGATTTCACAGGTCAGAGGTATATTTCAGCTTCTCAGCTCTGTGCCTGTGGCAGGAAAACAGCCACAGACAACCCATCAATGGACAAGCACCACCGGGCTAGAACAAAACTTCAGTTACAAAAGAGTGCGTGGGCAGGATGTGTCTGCGAGCTGTGGGTTGACACCTATGATCAACAAGATACAATGCTAAATTTATAATGATGTGATGTATGCTTAAAAATTGTTGAGTCAGTTTTAAATGTCTGTACCACATACACAAAAATAAATATCGAGAAGGCATGTTAATGAGCCTAATTTAATCATTTTGTGTGTGTGTGTGTGTGAGTGTGTGTGTATGTATACATATGGAAATATCTCATACCCCATGGGTACATAAATTATTTGTCAATTTAAAATAAAAGAAAAATTTGAAACGATGCTAATATAGTTAACAAACCCAAATATTTAGGACTCGGGATTTGTTTAAATTTTAACTGTATCGCTTTTCGGAAAAGCCCTTTACGGTAAATAAGAAGCAGCACAATATCAGAAAGAATGGTCTGAGCGCTTTGGAATAATGCTGTTAACAGGAGCACTCAGGATGTATCCGATGAGCGGAAACCGCAGCACTCAGCAGCCGGCTTCTAAGGCAGCCTGCAAGAGTCCTGTTGCTGAGTTTCAGGTGCTTTTAACTAATAGACAAAGAGTGCTGTGAGTAATGAAAAGAAGCTGTGTCGTGCAGGCCTCCTCCCCACGCCTTCTGAGTTAACATCTATAACGCATGGAAGTCAGTAAGTAGCCCTTCCCTAGGTCATCCTCGACCTCAGACCCTCCCAAGTCACCACCTTGACACTAAACCTTCACGAGTAACAGCAGATCAACTTTCTGTTACAGATGTTACGCAGATCTTAACACGATAATTCCACTACTAGCTCTTCCCATGGTTGCACCAAACAAAACTCCCGAATCCTGTAGGGACTTAAGCAAACATCACAGTTCTCTGTTTATAACGAAGCCAACACATTTGAATCAAATTTCCATTCTGCATTTTTTAAAGGCTCATAAAGAAATAGCATCTGGCAAGCTAAAATTGAAACATAAAGAACAGCTCAGGAATGTCAGGCATTTTCAATAGTTCGCTTCTTGTGTTTCCTTTGGTAAACATTAAGATGCAGGAAAACTAGCAAAATTGCTTTTCTTTTTTTCTTTTTTTTTTTTCATGAGGCGATCTTTTTTTTTTAAAACCTTTTAAGCCTGCACTGAAATGTGCAATTAGGAAGGCTGATCCAGAGAAGTCTGCAAAGCCGGGTTGCCCTGAGAGTTTAGACCCCACAGGTGGGGCGGCAGCATATCTAAGGGACGGTACTGCAGAGCGAGGTACTGGCGGTGTCCCGGCCTCACGAAAGGCCACGGAAATGAGTTAGCATCACGCTTTCCTTTACACAGCCCGAACCAAGAGACAGAAAAGCGCAGAACCCCACTCCCAGTCATGTCAATCTGGACGCTCACATGGCTCTGAAACTAAGCATAAAGCCACGCTTCGCCGTGGAAGCTCGGGTCACGGAAGTGTCCCGTGGCACCAGAAAAGGATACGAAGATGTAGTCGTCCAGGTACCTCTTCTTCAGGTTCTCCACGATGGAGCTCTCCGTGATCTTGGACAGCAGCACCATGTCGTCCACGCCACTGTGCTTGACATTGTGACTCTGCCAATGATAGCGGAAGGCACCTTTGCTCCCCTGCGGATGAAACCACACAAACTATTAGGACACATCCTATCCTCCTGCAGGGAAAAAACCAAACAGCAACAAAGACTCTTTTGTTTCCCAAATATCCCCCAAGTCAAATGCAGCAGACCCAGATTTAAGTTCCAGCTTTGCCAACTACAGACAAGTGGGGAAAATGACCCAAGCTCACAGTGCTGCTAAAATTTCTCTTTCCTCCTTTGTAAAAGGAGGGGACTAAGACTGCTTCAGAGTCACGGTGAGGATCACATAAAATATCATGCACGTGTAAAGTGCCCAATGGAGGAGGAACACGGGCGGAAACACAATAGACGGCCTCTGATAGCTCCTAAAATCTTGTTCCTTTGACCTCACCAGGGAAAATAAGCAAAGAAATGAAAACTTTCAAGACTTGTTTTGCAAATTAGGAGAGAACATGTATCTGGCAGTGGCCCGGTCACACTGACATCATTTCTCATCTGGAGTATTTTCCATTCATAGATTTGCTGTCAAGGTAACGCTGGCCTTCCACATCCGAAAGATGCGCTGCTTTGTGATGACGGGTGGGTGGGAGGCCTCACCTGGCCCCCGGGCTTGCTTGGGCAGGAGGCCTTGGCCCTGGGCTGCTCTGGGACTCAGCTCAACCTGGTGGTCCCTGCACACAGTGGGCTGCTGGGTTTCCCTCTGCTACACAGCACTTCCGCAGTGGGATCCGCGTGTGTCCTGGGGCTGCACTGGGCACCGAAGGACACCGGATCACGAGTGTTAGTGCTCACGTGTCAGCACCAAGCATATGGAAACACACAAAGCGCCTTTCAGGCTGGGGGAGGCTCAATGACTTGCTGCAGAAGGAACCGTGTCAAGTAGATCTTCAGTACTGAATATGCCAGGGAGACCAGAGAATGAGGCTTTTTTTTTTTGGTGGTACCAGGGATCAAACTCAGACCTTGCACTTACAAGGCAGGCACGGTGCCACCAACAGGACATTCTTTACAACCTGTACTCACTGGGGCAGCAAAGCAAACACTAGTGTGTACGTGATTCCAGGAAACAGGTGACCAGACACTGGAACATGGTCACGTGTGTTCAAACCCTCCTCATGCTCCTGGAAGCACCATTAACCGACCCCAGTGACAGAGGCCCTGCGCCTCCCTGGGGTTCACTGCCAAGGGGGTTCGGACAAAAGAGGCAACTTTCGCAGAAGGGCAGCTAGAAAGGCCAACTGCTCAGACACCGAAACCAACATGAAGGGGCTAGGGAGCGGAAAGAAATAAGGTACAAGTCACATGACATCTTATTTTTTTATTGAATTGTTTAGTTTTTTGATAAGTACAAAAAAAATTTTTTTTTTTTTTTTGAGACCAGGTAGCCCAGGCTGGGCAATCCTCCTGCCTCAGCCTGCTGAGAGCTGTGATTACAAGTGTGCACCACCACTCCCAGCATGCTAAGGAGAAATTCTAACAGGCTCTGGAGAAAGTAATCTTAAAAATCAGTCAAGAAGGGGCTGCCACAGGAGAAGTGAACCAGGCCCGGGCTTGTACCGTGGAAGGTTCTGGAAGGCTTGCTGCCTTGCTGTCTAACAGAGGAAAACTGCCTGCTTTCTCAGAACCACACACAGCATCAATTCTATAAAATACCTCAGCCTCCTTCTTCCTCTTGTGGCAAAGCAGAGGAGAGGAAAAGGCCTGGCCACTGTGTGACTTCACCGAGTTCCACCGAAGGCCCACAGCCCACTCATGTCACACAGTCTTGACGACCCCTCCCCCTACCTCCTTCCCCTGCTCCCCAGACACCTGCACAAGTTACTGTGCACGGAAAATGAAGGCCCCACAGTAACCAACCTGTGGGGATGCTGGATTTTAATCTCTGTAGATGCCCACTTACTCAAAAAAAGGCCCAGCGTATTTTTTTTTCTCTTTGGAAAATATAAGCCCGGTGAACTAAAACAGAAGCTATGAATAAATGGCTACCTAACTAAGGACAAGAAACAAGATGCAATCTCAGCTACTCAGAAGGCTGAGGCAAGGCAAATGGCAAGTTTGATCTAGCCCAGCCTGGACCACTTAGCAAGATCCCATCTCAAAATAAAAAATAAAAAGGGCTGGAGATGTAGCTGAGTGGTATAGTACCCTTGGGTTCAATCTCTAATAATGAAAAATAAATACATACATAAAAGGAGAAAGACGAGGAAGAGGAGGCGGGGGGTGGGGGACAGAAGCAACAGTTGTGTGTTGGCTGGTACATCCAGATCAGCTGCCTTTCCTTCATCCCTCTCGGTAGTGACAGGGTCCCATCAGCCGTCTCAGAGGCTGTGTCACCCTCAGGGCAATCATTTCCCAATGGACCAGAGCGCCCTATGTATCCACGCAGTGTCACGATCCCAAGTGTCACTGGACACTGAAGATCCCACCCAGATCTGGGGTCTTTTTTCACGCATTTTCCAGACTTCTCCACAACACAGTAAAGAACCAACAGGTTCTGAGGGGCTGATGCCTATGGGCCTGACTTTGGTGACTGACCTACAATCCCTGTGCCTTATGGAGGCATGAGAGTGATCCACTCAGTACGAATCATGCTTCCCATGTGGACCTGTCCCTCACTCCTACTCAGCCTGTGATCAAGAGGGTAACAGCTCATAGTCTGTGTGTACGGTGCTGCCAAGCTAAGATGTTCTAGGTGAGGTGTATTAAATGCACCTCCAAGTCAGTTTTTGCAACGCCCGGTATGTTGGGACACAATCCCACTGCAAGTCAAGGAGCATCATGCGAAGCAATGAGTTATTTGATCTGTGGAGGATGCCCCGCCTACTATTCCAAATGGCTAAATGGGCTGGCATTTCCATGCTACACTGGAGGAAACTGAGACCTCCCAACTACCTTCTTTCCCCAAAATGAGCTGGAAAATAATCAGCCTTACAAACTAAAGCTCAACAAGGCCAGCCCCAATCAGCCTCCCCTTTCCTTGTATGTGTTTTTCTCTCTCACTGCCTCCTTTCCCTTCTCTCCCCCATCCCAGGCAATCAGAGCCACATATGTGAACTTAGCCATTCCCAATGCTTTTGTAGAATCTCCATTTTTCCAGTGAGAAAACTGCAAAGTCCCCAAGCTCTTCCAATGATAACTTCTGTCCTCACTCTCCCTATCTTGTTCCCGCTTCCACTCCTCCAACCCCCACAAAAACCACTTCTCAAATGAGATGGGACAGGGAGGGCAGGGACCAGGCCAGAGCCAAGCCTTGAGGACTGAGCTGGGAAGTTCTAGAAGGCTGACAAAATGACTAAGGAAGCACTGGAAACCAGACAGGAACACACCAGCTCTTGTCCCAGCCCCACAACTTGAAGATGCCCCACAGTGAAGCATAAACCTGCTTCCTACAGTTTAATAACAGCCTGACTTCTGTGGGGGGCTTCCTCATTCACAGCCACTGAGTCAGGGAGTGAGTGGGCAACATGGGAAATAGCCAGAGCTCAGGAACCCTAAATGGTCACCACTCCCAAGCCTCAAAGACCAGTGCCTCCAGCCCTCAGCCCTGGAAATCGTTCTGGGACTCACACTACTGCCTTATAAATGTGAGAATGAGTGTGATGGTTCTGGGAAAATAAACTTGGCTGTGGCTTCCCTGGGTTTCTCCCTTCCACTACTAGGTGAGGACCAGAGGCAGGGGACTCACACATAGGATGTAAACTTCCACGTAGTGGCATCTGGCCTACTGCCTGGTAAGAGCCACCGCTGGCTTCTTTTTCTGGTAACTCCCTTTTCCTTCTCCCACCAAAAATGGCAACAATTTTAAACAAGTAGTGTGCTCAGCAAGGTATTATTGCACTCTACTGCAGCCATGCAGGAGGGAGGCCGCAGCTCCAACCCAGCCAAGAAATGAAAACAGTTAAGACCACTAAGGCAAAATACTGAATCGCAGCCTTGCCAACCATTACAAATCACGAGGGAGAAATTTCCCATTAGATCAGGGATTCTGAGTACAGACGTTCTAGGATCTACATTAAGTTTCTGGTGACAAGTCAGTTTACTAAAAAGTAATTAGCTGGCCATGGTGGTATACACCTATAATTCTCAGCTTCTTTAGGAAGCTGAGCCAGGAGAATCCAAAGTTGGAGGCCAGCCTGAACTATATAGAGTGTGATCTTGTCTCACAAAAGAAAAAGGGCTGGGGGTATAAGTCAGTGTCTAGAGCACCTGCCTGGCACAAGCAAGGTCCTGAGTTCAATCCCAGTACCATGGTGCAGGGGGTAGGGGAGCAATGATTCATATGCGAGATCTAGAAAGTAGAGGATGCTCTCATCCACATAATGATTCTGCTTGTTACCCTTTGGAGTTGGCACCAAGACACGGGAGTCCCTAGAGCCTGCCTCGGGGCGGGAACCTCACCTGGCTGATTCTGACCAGCTTAAAGGTGGAGCCTTTGAAACTGGAGTGTGTTTACCAAGGCGGGGACCTGGAGGAGCAAGGGTGAGTCAGCGCACATAGGTGGCATTCTTTTCTCCTGAAAATCTTCCTGCCCAGGAGAGCAGCCTGGCAAAGCCCTTGCCTGTCACAGCGGGGAGGGAAGAGGGAGGAAAGCCCTCAACAAACATGGTCACTGTTTGATTCACTGAGGGCAGAGGTGGTTCTAATACACCCGGTCACTGCAGCTTTGACGCTGCCCTTGATATGCCCAAAGAGGGAGGCTATGAAATGCAAGGATATAACAGCTCCAGTGTTGCGAGGGGCCAGTGAGCACCTGGGTGACCACAAACACATATTACTTACTAGGCAGTATTTTTAGGAAGCCATTTGCAAACAGGTTTCAAAGTTTTAAATACATGGATCAGCATACAAGCACAGTTAACTAAGTAAAAATAAAATCCATATCCCATGTTACCTGGCAAATGCATTTATCTCAAGATGTACCTGGAGAAGCTTGGCAAGCTGCACATACAAGATGGCCCACTGTGATCTGGGAAACGGGAAACACTGCTGGGGACGGGTTAGAATATGAGAAGTACAAACGAGCCTCTTGCA